GAGCCGGACGGCTGCCCCGTGTGCGTGTGGCGGCAGCATAGCCGCGAGCTGCGCCTGGAGAGCATCAAGTCGCAGATCCTAAGCAAACTGCGGCTCAAGGAGGCGCCCAACATCAGCCGAGAGGTGGTGAAGCAGCTGCTGCCCAAGGCGCCGCCGCTGCAGCAAATCCTGGACCTGCATGACTTCCAGGGCGACGCGCTGCAGCCCGAGGACTTCCTGGAGGAAGACGAGTACCACGCCACCACCGAGACCGTCATTAGCATGGCCCAGGAGAGTAAGTGGGCTTCGGGGCTCAAGCGGTGCGTTGCTGGCTCGGCTCTGGGAAGGGCGCCTCTGGCTTCCAAGCCGGGCGCTCCCGGCTGCTTCGGCCCGGAAGCGTTTTCTGCGAAAACTTGATGGATTAGGGACCTGGGGCTATTCCACAGAACTTTTTTCCAGCGGTGAAGCTGGGCAACGGAGTTGTATGCAGGCCCTGTTCCTGGAGGTGGGAGGGGGCAAACGCGACGGGTTGCAAGATACTGCCTCCCAACCCCGGTGTGCGAGAAAGACCCCCGTTAAAGGAGTCGGGGGCGGGGGGGAAGCTGAGGCCCGCAGCTTTGGGGACTAGGCAGACACTCTGTCCTGAAGGGCCACGGGTGGGGATGACTAGAGAACAGAATTGGGAGGCTCCCAGCTGGGCCGCAGTACTCTTGTGTCTTCCCATCGTCCTGGCACCAACTCCCCGCCCGATGCTCCGCAACGCGCCCACCCGGCTCCAAAGAACCGAGTGCCCCTCTCTGTCCCAGGAATAGGATCCCAGAACCCAGTGTTCCTCCTGGCAGCCCAGCTGGCACCCTTTTCTTCCTGAGCCGTGTCTCACACTGGGTATCCCAAGGGGCCAGGAAAACTGTCTTCTTGGTACCGACCGATCTCAAGATAACTCCATTGCGCTGGGGGCTTAAGGATAATCATTTGGTTACTTAAACCTCAGTGTTCCGTCCCTTATTCACCGGGCCCGATGGCAACTGGACTTGAGAGAGAGGAAGACCAAAGGGAGAATGAGAAAGAACTGGACAGGTTTTGGGGGAGACCCAGGCATCCGAGTCCCTGGCTTAAGGAAGCTGAATACTGAACACGTTAATAGACATGAGCTGCTTTGAAATTTTATGGCCTGGAAAATCCAGGCCAATACCACTACCCCCAACTCTATCTCTCCCTAAGGTCAGGTGACTCCCTCTTCCCCTCCCCCACTGAGTCTCCCCTGACTCTTCAACTCCAGGGAATCAAGCCCTCTCTTATTCCCTGGTGGTTTGGCAAGGTCCCCCACCCCCCAGTTTGGTTTATGGCTCTGAACAGAAGAGGGGGGAAACTGGTTTATTGGCAGATGGGTAATAAAAAGCTGGGGGCTGAGGGTCCTAGTGGCCCACATCCATAGGAGAGTCACAGGAACCCAGGTGTGCATCTGGGAGGTTTAGTACCTGGTAATGCCAAATGTGTTTCTGTAGAACTCAACAGTACTTAATCAGGACTGTAAAGAAAACTAACCAGGAAAACTAACTGGATTTGTGTGTGTATGTGTTTGTATGTGTATTTGTGTGCACGCTCACACAGGCGAGCTATGCACCCCGCACCAAGGGCTGGAGATCTAATCCTCGTTTCCTCAGTCTCCCTTCTGCTCCTTTTAAGACTTCTGCTTGTGGAAGCTGGGGTCAGTCTGAGATTGACCTAGGGCAGGGGTGGGGGTGGGGATTCTAGGAAACAGTAGTAGAAGAATTCTGATCAAGAGTTTGCTGGAAGAAGATGAAGGATACAGAGGGAAAAGATGCTCTGGTCTGTGTGGTATAGTGTGTGAGAATTCCCAGGATGGGTGACAGGGCCTTGGACTTCCCCTTGCTCCTCACTATGCCTAGCATTCCTTAGCTATAGGTCTGAGCTCAGAATTAGCTCTATAGTGGGGATGTGGGAAGTGAAGGGATCCTGCATGCATGGATGGGGCAATGAAGGTTAAGACTGAAGGAGGCACCAGCAGTTGGGGTCTCACCCCAACTTCCACTCTTGTGCCACCAACGCAGCACTTGGGTAACTAGGGAACTGGGTCTCCAGCCAGGTATTGTACGTCCCCTTTAAGAGCCTAGCTGAGCTCTTAAGAGAGGGAGGGGGAGTGGAGGGAGGGGGGAGGGAGAGAGGGGAAAAGGAAAAAGAGACTTTTATAGTCTAATCCCCAGGGACCCGCTTTAATAAGAGACTTGTGCTCTGCTAATCGGGGGAGGTGTTTGTCAGCAGAGATGGCCTCTGCTCCCCTCCCCCTGTCTCCCCTCCCCCAGCCTCCAACCCTAGACCCCAGCCCCCACCTCGCCTAGACTGCTTTGCTTGTCCTAGTTCCCTCTACCCTCTCAGGCTCTCCCACCCCAGCCTTCATCCTGGGAACCCAGCCCCCTGCCCTTCTGGGAGCCGAGCCCAGCCCCTCAGTTTCTCTCTCCTCCCCATACTGAGAGGCCCCTGCCCTCTCAGCCCAACCTCCTGCCCCTAGGCCTTCTAGCCTGGATTGGAAAAGGGTGTGTAGTTGGGGGTGGAAAGGGGAGGCCCTAAGTAAGGAGGGGGTTGGGCTTTTGCTGAAAATAGTGCAATGACCTCTCTCCCCTAGCAGCACCGCCTACTAAACCTGACCTGCTGCCTGCCACCAACCAGATCAATCCAACACATATGTGGCCCCCCTCCCTTTCCCATCAGAGCTGTTAAGGATTCTCTCAAGCCCCTTTCCCTCTATAGCTCTACCTGCTTATTCTTTGTTTCTCTCTCTCTACCTTTTGTGTCCTCTTATCTTTACCCCATCAGGTTTAGCTCCCTCCCACCTCTAACTTTTTAACTCCCACCCACTCCTTTCTACTCAACCCTGGTGTTCTCCAACTCCCAAACTTATTTCTTCTCACACCACAATCTTTCTACAACCTCCGTTTCTCTGCCTGTCTCTACTAACCTGATTTCATTCCTGGATCTTCTTGATTCTTACTTCCCTCACCTTCTCCAGTCTTTCCTGACTCTTCACCTTTCTCTTTACTTTCTCCCTATGTCCTGTCCCCTAGTAGTACTGACTAGTCTCCCATCCAGTGTAGAAGTGTATGAGGATTCCCTGGGATGGGCAATCCTTTATCTGAAGGAACCAAAGGATCAAGTGCCCAATCCCTCACCTTCAAATCTTAGGTCAGCTAAAGGTAGTAGGGTATGTTTAGAGTTTAGAAAACCAAACATTTATTGAGAAACTACTACTATTTTCACATTCTTTAATGCTTAGCACCTAAATCAAGAATCATTACTATCATACCAAGAAGTCTATGGGAAAGGTCAGATGAGGAGTCAAACAGTGGTTAAACCCACTTTAATGTAGCCAAGGACAGTTTAGGAAGAACTCTCAAGCACTTGCCTGTGTAACTGAAAATTGGGAGTTCATTCAGCATGTATTTATTGAATACTTCTTGGTATTATGGGAAGCACTAAAGCTACAGTGGTGAGTAAAATATATAGTGTCCACCCTCAAAATGAGTATCTTAATAGCAAGAAATAGACATTTCCTATGCCTAAATTTGGCATAATATGCTATTTGCATTGTTGCTTGTCATTCCAGAGCTCACCAGTAGCTTCCTTGCTCCAGCTACTCTCCTAATCTCTGAATTTCCATTCCCCAAGCCCCACTCTATTACATCATTACTGAAGCTCCAGCCAGTAGGATAAATGGGAGGACTAACAGAACATTGCACCTCAGAGAAACAAGGAAGACGATGATGCAGAGGACTTTTGTGTATTATGACCTAAAATATGAAGATTACAAAGAACTTTCTTCCTATCCTATTCAGAAGGTCCTCCTCTCCTGGAGTGAAGTGGGAGAGTGTTCATGGATGTTAAGTCCTCCATGACTACACAGAATGTTACGTGGGTATAATACCTAAGGGCCTACCTGGACTTCTGCATCATAACTATAAGGGACTGGAAAAGCTCATTCCAGATTCTTCTTATCTAGAATGAGAATGGTCATTCTTGAGAAACATGATTCAGGGCATTCCCAAACTATCAAAGAGATTAGGAAATGGAACTGGAAGAAGCTGGGAGCACAGGGATATATTGAGCATCATCTTTAATCCCCAAGGTTTAATTTATGGTCCAGAACAAGGGGAAAAAGGTCAAGATGTGAAGTTGGGATACTGAACCTCTGTAGACTTGCTGGTGGTCCTGGACCAAAAAAAACACAAAAGGAATATCAGGGGAGAAAAAGCTACTGAATTTTGTTTGTCGTGCAAGGGATTGAACCCAGGACTTCATACATGCCAGGCACTTCCTCCACCACTGAGCTACATACATCCCAATCCCTTTTTTCCCCTAAGTTTTGAGACAGGGTCTTGCTAAGTTGCTAAGGCTGATCTTAGACTTGCCATCCTCCTGCCTTAGCCTTCTTGAGTAGCTGGTATTACAAGTGTGCACCAACTGTACCCTGCTGATTATAGATGATATGGTATGTTGAATTATTGTTTGTTTTGTTTTTGTGGTGTTGGGGATTGAACCCAGGGCCTTGTGAATGAAGGTAAGCATTCTACCAACTGAGCTATATCCCCAGCCCGAATTATTATTTCTGATGCTTTGGGAAAGTAGGAAGAAACACAATTTTTCCCTCCCTCAAAATCTGAAGCACTAATGGTGGTGATGATGAGAAAGCAGCTAAGGAAACTTCTTTTTAGGAGAAAAGGAATGAGGAGTCAGATGCATAGGATATGCTTGGGTAGTTTCATTCTGGTGCTACTGGGATGACACAAGCCTAGTTTTCAATTCTGGTTTAGTTTATAAGATAAATTTAGCCTACATTCCTTCTGGACCCTGAGTTATATTCTCTGAGGCCACCTTTTTTTTTTTTTTGCCGGGGGGATGCCAGGTTCCACCTGCCCATCAGACAAATCAGCAGAAATGGGGCAAGGTAACAGCAGGTGTGGTAAGAGGTATGGCTTCTATGAAGAGCTTAAAGATTCAGAAAAAGTTGGAGCCTTACATTCTGGGAATAGTTGGGGAAAGGGAAGGGAGAATTCCCTGATAATTACCTTTACAGGTTAAAATGTAGAGGGGAACCTGTGTATTAGAATAAGTAAATGGACTAGGGAATTGGTACAGATTAGTAAAGACTGATAGAGCCCTCATCCAAAGTGAGGAGGCAGTTTTCAGTACCTGAAACCCCATACGGATAATCCATAAGATAGTCACAGGAGAAGGGCAAAAGCTGAAACACTCAGGCTGAGGAGTCCAAACTGCCAATGCCATCCAGGGCTGCTGATCCTTTCTACAAATACCCTTTGCTGATGTTGTGCTCCCTTCTCTCTTATCAGCGGATCCTGCAGTGCAGACAGATGGCAGTCCTCTCTGTTGCCATTTCCACTTCAGCCCCAAGGTGATGTTCACAAAGGTACTGAAGGCACAGCTGTGGGTGTACCTTCGGCCTGTGCCCCGCCCAGCCACAGTCTACCTGCAGATCTTGCGACTGAAACCCCTAACTGGGGAAGGGACCGCAGGGGGAGGGGGTGGAGGCCGCCGTCACATCCGTATCCGTTCACTCAAGATTGAGCTGCACTCGCGCTCCGGCCACTGGCAGAGCATCGACTTCAAGCAAGTGCTACACAGCTGGTTCCGCCAGCCACAGAGCAACTGGGGCATCGAGATCAACGCCTTTGATCCCAGTGGCACAGACCTGGCTGTCACATCCCTGGGGCCAGGAGCTGAGGGGCTGGTGAGCAGGGGGCCTGAAGTGGTGGTGGATATGTGTATCCTGGCCCTGAGGAGGTGGGGATGTTAGAAAAAGTAGACCAGGAACATAAAGGGAGGTGGGGACCAGTATTACTTCTCAGGCCAGGAGCTGATTCTAGATGAGTTTGAGGATGGGGTGGCAACTGTCACTTTTCAGGGAACCAAGCCAGGCAGCAGCTGAAAACTGGATTTGGGGTAAAGGTGTCAGATAATGGAACCCAAAAACTGGACATTGATGAGGCCCTGAGCCAAGGGGCTGATGAAGGTCAGGTTGCCAGGACAAAGAACTAGGGAAGGCTGAGTTGAGAGATGATAGATGGCAAGAAAAGTGAGTTGAAGATAAGGTGGGGTGGGTGGGGCAATGGAAAAGCCAAGAAGTCAATGGTTTCTGTTCTGAAGCCACTATTGAGAGGCAGATTGGGGGGGTGGGGGACAGGGAAGAACTTTTCAGGGCTATGTCACATCTCTTTCCCCTCTCCCTGACCTTCAGCATCCTTTCATGGAGCTTCGAGTCCTAGAGAACACAAAACGGTCCCGGCGGAACCTAGGCCTGGATTGTGATGAGCATTCAAGCGAGTCCCGCTGCTGCCGATATCCCCTCACAGTGGACTTTGAGGCTTTTGGTTGGGACTGGATCATCGCACCTAAGCGCTACAAGGCCAACTACTGCTCCGGCCAATGCGAGTACATGTTCATGCAAAAGTATCCGCATACCCACTTGGTGCAACAGGCCAATCCGAGAGGCTCTGCTGGGCCCTGCTGCACCCCTACCAAGATGTCCCCAATCAACATGCTCTACTTCAATGACAAGCAGCAGATTATCTACGGCAAGATCCCTGGCATGGTGGTGGATCGTTGTGGCTGCTCCTAAGGTGGGGGACAGTGGATGCCTTCCCCACAGACCCTACCCTGAGACCCCAGCCCTGGCCCCCATCTCCCCAAGCCCTAGAGCTCCCTCCACCTCTTCCCACGAACATCACACCTTGTTCCCTGACCAAGCAGTGTGCAATACAACAGAGGGAGGCAGGTGGGGGTTGAGGGACAAGGGGTTGGGGAAACAGGAAAGGAGGGACAGACATAGTTAGGGTGGAGTGTTTGATGTTTGCAGGTAAGAAGGTTTGGCAAGAAGACAGAGAGATGTAGAGACAGAAGTACAGAGGGATAGAGACAGGAACAAACAGCAACATTGAGAAGGCAAAGGAATAGAGAAGAGACAAGAGACTAGGCAGAGACAAACAATGAGAAAGAGACAGAAATGGAGTAATAAATGAAAGCCCCACACCAAGCCTCCTTTCTTCCACTGGCAAGGTGAGGGGCTTGGTATAGTTTGGGGAGATCCCCTGACTATCCAGTAGGAGAGGAAATAAAAAATCCATTCTTAGCATCTTCCCTCTCCCCCTACAACAATAACCAGGGGAAGGGAAGCAAGGGCAGGGGCAAAAGTAAGGATTTGGGAATTTTATTTATTTATTTATTGTGACTTTTCTTTGTTTTTTCTTTTTATTTTTGGGTACTTGGCTTTACTGGAATAGGAGGGCCCCTGCCCACTATGCCCCATTTGTCCCTTATGCCCCAAACCCTGCTCTTCCCCAATACCCACCCACTTAAGCACTTGTATAAAGCCTCCAGGGTTGGGAATGGGAGTAAAGGGCAAGAGGGCTGATATATGTGTTTCTAACCCATAAGCAACCTAACTAACCAAATGGGTTGAACTAAGTGGCCATGGAAATAGTACAAGATTGGCGTTTAAGAGCTGAGGGAGGGGAAGTCCTCAACATCCAGGATCTATGAGAGCGCCACTAAACTAACCCTCAGACCCACCTTCTCCAAGGTATTGATTTAGCCAGAGGGTATAGCCTGTTTATGCCCAAATTACCCTCAGCAGAGAGAGACCAAAGAGCCTGTGGAATGCCCCTGTTCCCAGCCTCTATCTTCAGGTCAATAAAAGAGTAGAGACCCCAAAGTCCCCCAGGTCTGGGTAAGATTATAAAGGGTCAAGAAAGGAATAATAAGGAGGCTGAAGGTTACAGGGCATTTGAATCCAAATCACTGCTCTGGGCTAGGGAATAGAATCTGTAGACCAAGGTGGAAGGGATTCTGGAAGGGGGACATTTTAGTCCCCCACCCCCCAAAGCTCAGGGTGGAAGGAGGGAGAAAAAGGGAGCAGAGTGTCTATATAATTTTTAATCTTTTATTTTTGGAGTATAGAAGTACCTGGAAGCAGGGAGGGGATAGTACAGTGGGGAAAGGCATCTGACAAGGCCAGTTGACAGCAAAGAATGGGAAGGAAGGAGATTCCCTGGTTTGAAAGGCTAGGAAGCAGGCAGAAAGTAGTTGCCACTTCATCTCACTAGCTGGGCCAATTCATTCCTCCCATAATCCTGACTCACTCTCCTCTGGACTCACTGTGCCTCAGTTTCTTCCCCTCGATGGAATGAGAAATAGCAGCACCCGCCACAGCCAAGAGATGAATTCTGAGCACTTACCACGGGCACTTTATGGACATAAAATACCTCTCGCTGTGGGACAAGATAACCAGGGCACCAGAGTAGTGGTGAAGATATGTGAGGCTTAGAGGAGTCACAGGCTTCAGAGAGTACAAGTTCCCCTGCCTCCCAGATGGACAGTGCCTGAAGCCAAGGAGTTGAGAATCTCCACACCCTATCCATACCTCACCAGCAGATCTCTTGGCTCCAGGCAAGAGCCTAAGGATGTCAGGAAAGCAGGGGGTGGGCTGGGGGGGATGTGGAGACCTACAGCAAAATGGTACTCTTACGTAGAGCCAGCAGTTATGGTCTGGTAGAAACAGTACTGAACTGAAGTAAAGCCTGAGGTGGAGAGCAGACCTGGAAGGCTTATTCTTCCTGAGCACATGTCTCTCCTGCTTGGACCAGACCACTGAAGGGGCAAATGTATGGTGACCATGCTTGGGAAGGTGATGCTGGTGAAATTTAGCATCTTACTTCTATTCTCATAGTGAGAAAATGAGATAAGGTATTTCAGTAGAGGAATGAACAGGGACTGTCAAGCTTTTCAACTCACCTTCCATATTGCAGCTATTTTAACCCCAAGTCTTTCCTCTCTGGCCCTATTCTTCACCCTTCTGCCCCAGTCTTGGAGAACAAGACACACCTGACCATTCACATTTCTTTGGTGGAAGGAGAGGAGCAGAAAAGTGAAGAATAGCACATGCTTCCCTGCAAGGTCAAATACCTCTTGATCTTGGACAGGGTGGGGACTGGGCAATAAACATTAGGTAACTTCCCTCTACAAAATCTAAACAGCTAGGGCATTAAACTTGGGGGACACTTAAAAAATTGCCCTTTAATACCACCAAATAAAGACCTTTGCAGAGTCAGGAAAGCAGTCATTTCTCCTAGGAATATAAATCTGAGTTGAAATTGCAGTCCCCTGTTCCTCCCTATCCCCAAAGAGGCATGGGATAGAAAAGCTTGGAGACAACCCAGCAACCCAGTGGGGGCTGGCACCCTTCCCCCACCTTATGTGTGTGGACCTGGCCAGTGCCCCTCAGAACATATCATTACTGGTGTAATTATTTACTTTGTGTATTTGTTACATCGTGTGTGATTGCCTTTGTTTGTTAAGGGTGTCTGAGGAGTATGGGGCTGACTGGGGCACTGGAATGCCAGGAAAGGACTTCTTCACTGAGATCAAGGCTTCCTTGAGGGAACCACTGCAAAAAGGCCATCAGGTAGTTTTCAAGTTATGTGACAGAGGGCAAAGATGGCCATAGGGTGCTCTGAGTTTTGGGATGGTCACATGACACAATCCAGCACTTGAACCTGAAAAAAGAAAAATAAAAGCAGTCAAAGAGTTTAGAAATCAGTGCCAAGCTCTTCTCCCTAATCAAGCGCGACATTTATACTTGGGAGACCAGGAATTGAAGAGGATCTAAGAGAGGAAACCTTTTGCTCTAGGACTAAGAAGATGGGGTCCTTGGAGCAAGAGGAAAACCACTACGGATCTGGGTGTGTGGTGTACACTTGTAACCCCAGCAACTCAAGAGGCAGAGGCTGAAAGATCGCAAGTTTGCAGCCAGCCTCATCAATTTAACAAGACCCTGCTTCAAAATTTAAAAAAAAAAAAAAAAAGGACTGGGGATGTATGTGGCTCAGTGGTAGAACACCCCTGGGTTCAATCCATGGTAATGCAAACAACAATAAAACACAAAAGTGCTTGTGGGATGAGGGTTGGGATATGTAGTCCAAGACAGATGGACAGAGGATGAGAAAGGAAGGGGAGTTCCTTTCTCTGGAGAGCTTGATTCAAAACAGTCCCCCAGATTATAAAACTCTCCCAGCCTTCATAGAATAGGAAATCTGAAGTTTTCTTAAAATAATCCAGCTAATGTCTGCTATTTACAGTCCCTACTCCTAGGTTTCCTCAACAGTTTCACCAAAATTCATGAAACAAACTGACAGTTGTTTGCTTTGTCTGCAAAAAAAGTGATTAAGCATTTCAAACAATCTTTGAGCCCACTATACCTAGAGGGCAATTTCCAGGATGTTACAAGTTGGGGGTGGCAAAACAACCTTGCCTGACAAATAATAACATAAGGAAAGCTCCTGTGACACCAGCAAGATCCAGAACAGGCAGCAAAGATACTAAAGGTTCAGTGTGCCATCATGCTTTCCCTGCCTTGTTCATTCTACTACCAGACTAACCCCAACCTATACCAACTACAAAACAAGTTGAGACTGGGCAAGTAACTACAGTGTTGTACACTGTATCATCCCTTAGGGAACTGCTTTATCTACAGTTCTATCCCTAGCTTTTGGCCGGAGTCAAAATGGTTTTCCCCTCACTACTCAAAGGAATACAGAAGAAATTGTAAGATGAGTTTTAAGTCTTTTCTCCTTTTCCCCAAACACCCTCCAAGAAGTGCATCAGGAGCTATCCTATCATTAGTCTTTGCCAAGTTTTCATATGTGAGGGGCATGCCCCAAGCTAATAAACAGCAAGCAGTGTAACATTTAGTCTCTGGTGGATAGTGGGGCAGAAGTAGGAAAGTCAATGCTCCAGGTGACAATGTTAACTTTCCTACCCATAAGCTGAGGATTAAGAGAAGAACTGGAACTCTTCCCCCATCTTTCTAGTCTCCAAACTCCCAAATACAATTGCATAAGCATACACAGGCCCAAACTCACCCCCCATTCTTTATCTAGAATCTGTTCAAGTGGGGAAAAAAAGTGTTCTTATCCTACTTTTATTTTACCCTTATAAAATTAAGAGCTAATATTTTTTCAATGATTATTAAGCATAAACTATGCTAAGCAAATTATGCCAAGTTCATAATATGAAAGTATTAATTTTCACAGCAACCTTCATAATACTGATAGAGTCTGGAGAGAGTCACAGAATTAAGTAATTTGCCCAGGGTCATAGAGCTAGTGTGACAGAATAAGAGATTAAACCTAAATAGTTACACATACATTATACTCTATTAATAGTGATATAAGAGAAAACAAAATACAGGGACAATAGAGAGGAAAGAGATGACAAAGGGTCTGCAAAGGAATGCAACCTTTTATTTTCAGTCCTCTTGGAGGAAAAAACAAGAAGAATCTGGAAACAGCAAGAGAAAGGGAGATCAGAATGTGTGTATGTGTGGGGGGACTTTAATAATCAGAAGTGGCAATGCCTGTCAGAGGCCTCATGTAAGAGAACAGGGAAGCAAAGTACAATGATACACACCTGTAATCCCAGCTACTCAGGAAACTTGAGTCTGAAGGATCCAAATTCGAGGCCTGGGCAACTTAGTGAGACCCTATCTCAAAATTTAAAAAGGCTAGGGATGTAGCTTGGTGGTAAAGTGCCCTTGGGTTCAATCCTCAATACTGGAGGGGGGCGGGGAGCAGAGAAAGGTATTCTCTCCTAAGTTCCTCGCTACCCCATCTGTTTCTCTTGTTAGACACAGCAAGAGGACTCAGCTCTACACTAAGAAGAGGTCTGGCACAGTGGGGTATATTCATAGTCCCAGCTACTCAGTAGGCTACAGCAGGAGAGTCTGAGGCCAGCATGGGCAACACAGGCAACATAGAGTAATACTGTCTCAAAATACAAAAACAACAAAACACCAAGAAGATCTGCCCTTATTCACCCCTTCCTTCCTATAGCCTTTGCCCACACTGAAAGTTTTAGTCTTCTGGGGGGAAGGGCAGCTTAGGGTGATGGTGGTGAAGACAATGATCCTAGAGAACCATAAAAAGGTACAGATTTACAGCTAAGGAAGCTTGTTCTCTCTACAGCTTTTATAGACTCCCTCATTAAGAGCCTCCAGGTATGCGGAGAATGCCACAGCTTTACAGCAAGGAAAAGACTGGAGTCAGCTAACTACAGGAGTGAGACTCAGGGATAAGAAGGAAGGAAAGGTATTTGGATCCCAGATAAGAATTATAAGCCTAGGTGTCTATTCTGTTAGGCAAACAAAAAAGACTTTTTTTTTTTTTGGTGCTGGGAATTGAACCCAGGGCCTCAGCATTCTACCGACTGTGCTATATCCCCAGCCTTGGACTTACTGTTTTAAATTCGGGGGGGGGGGGGAATCCTAATTTTGAGCATTCTATACTATTCATGCTCAAAAAGTTATGTGTGAAATGACTGCACTGAGACAGAAAGAGAACATGGTGGTCAGCCTTGGAGGTTATAGTCTTTTGACTGACATAGGAAAACATGGCATCAAAGATCTGAGGAAGTTGGGCATGGTGGTACATGCCAGTAATCACAGCAACTCAGGAAGAAGGATCACAAATTCAAGGCCAGTCTTGGCAATTTAGAGAATCCCATCTCAAAAACTAAAAAGGGTTGGGGATGCAGTTCCGTGGCAGAATGCTCTTGGGTTCAAACCCCAGTACCACTAAATAATAAATAAGTGGGGAGTGAAGAATTGAGCTAAGTAAAGAGAATGATGAAGTGTAAAGAGTAAAGAATCTAGCGAATAAGGCTGAATACATTTCTTTCTGTAAGGTTGTAAAGACTAAACAGAAAAAGTGAAGAAAATTTCTGAGGGACCCAATGCTCTGTTCCATTATTAGCATCTACCCTATTCCTCCTTTTTAAAAAACCATCCTAGAGTAAGAAATCCTTATTGAATCTATAATCTTATATTACAAAACTGAATAATTCTCTTGGTTGTTTTCAGATGAAGGCATAGGAGAGACAGAGAAAAAAAAAAAGCTAGTTCTGAGATTAGAGCCTGAAGTCAAGAAAGGGAGGCAAACAGAACAGACTAACAGGAAGGGAGGGAAAGTCACTCCATGTATAAGGTTTATTTGGTTGAGGATATGACAAAAATTTAACCAACTTTCCTTCTTGTTCATTTCTCCAGAATCTCAAATGGGGCAAAATTCACAAAAAAATGGGCAACCTTTGGATCTGTCCTCCAAGGTACAGTTTTCTTAAAATATCCAACTTTGGTCCCTTGTCACTAACTATAGACTTGACAGAAATAAAAGAGATTCTTAATGTTACAAAGTTTTGAAAAAATTATAACCTTTCTACTGATCACAAAAACAAGCAGGTTTTCACAGAATTAAAAAAGACAAAGATTACAAAACAACAGCAATGTAAGAGTTAATAATGGGAGAAAATCTTTAAGTAAGATACCAGGCTTGTAAATTTTATAATCCTACCTCACCAAAAAAACAAACAAACAAACAAAAACTTCTATAGATGTCCAAATATAATGCTTAAGAGGAGACACCCTACATCAACACATCTGAAAAGACTACCAAGTCTCAGATTTATAGGAAGCTTCAAATGCAAACAAGCAACCTGCTTGGGGAGAGTCAAACCTTTTCTAAGTAGGAAGCTCAGCAAGGAAAATGAATTTTAGTAATATCCAAGAAACATTACCACCAAAACTGCAATAGCATCCTTCTGCAACAGAAGAAGATAAACTAGCACAGGGCTTAACAAAAATCTAAGTAGAGTTGGGATATAGCTCAGTGGTATTGTGCTGGCCTTCCAGGTGCAAGATCCTAGGTTTAATCCCTGTCACTGAGCGGGGGGGAAAAAAGGTAGCATCCCATCCCATTGCTTATGTTCTCAATTATCTAATAATGTTTAATGTTTAACATTTTTTATATTCTTTCATACTTTGAATCCCTACATTTTCTTCTATCTCTGAGGAGCATCCAGCCCATCAATCTTCCTGAACTGCAAAACTAACAAGGTCCTACGCAGTGATTTGTTCTGGAACCAATTATCATGCCAGGCCACATGGAAAATAGGGTCCATCTTACTGTAAGAACTCTGGGCTCCATTTTATCCAACAACAGGACTTTGTTACTAGCTTATAGTAGGGAATTATAAATCATTAGTCCTTGTATTTATATTGTTTCTATCTCCTAAAACCTTCTATGCTCCCTCTATTTTATCTCTATGGGTCACTCCAACCTGCTAAAGCAAAGATTCAGGGAGTAACTTGACCTCTTTACAGAAGTTAATGAAGTAAAAGGATGCCTGTGAGTACAAGCAAAGGTAATAAATGGGCTTAAAGGGTAGACTCATACTCAACCTTGTCTTCTTTTCTAAGGGATAAAGACATTATGGCTAATTCCCCATAATATTTGCTCCCAAAACTCCCCTTATCTTACCTAATCTGGCTCCAAGAACTCATATGAGGAGCACCTAATAAAACACATTGTTCTCTTTTCTGTTTTTTTATTAACAAGCAAAATAATTAAAAACAAAACCACAACAACCTTAAAGTTGGAACAACAGTAAGTTAAACTGCTGCTGGAGTTCACTGATGTACCTGAGGTACATGCTCCCTCACTGCGAGGCAGGACGTAGGCACATGACTGTGCATTTAGGTATACATGTGACCAAGAAGAATCAGAAATGGAAACCACGGGAGAATGGAAAGCATCAAGAACTTTCATCACGCAATCCCAAAACGCTCTGCTCTTTTCCTCTTCTTTGCCTGTAAGGAAAAAGCAAGAAGAAAAAAATAGTAAGACAACAGTAGCTTAGGTTCCTGGCTGCTTTAATCCAAACTCACATGAACTGTCACAAGGTCCAAGAAGAAGGGATGACCCTGACTTTAAGCTTTGTAGCCAGAGAGTTCATTCCTGAATCTCTTCAGTTATTTAGCTGTGGAGGTTTAGTGAGAATGAAAAGAAAAGATTACAGGAGGTGGAAGGGGAGGCGAGCAAAGGAGAATAGTAGTAGAAAATGGAGAGGTTTTCTAGGGAGACAGGGCCCTCAGCCTAAAACAAGAGAGCCTACAAATAATGGGTCCTGAATAGGTTGGGGAAAGTATCGGGGAGGGTACTGGGAAGGGAGATGAAAATTTCAGGGAACAAAGGATGGTGAGGATGCCCCTTTGAGCAGTCAGGCCCAATAGTAGCTATTCCTTAGGCCTCTAATCCACAGAAAAGAATATAAATCTTCAATGCCAAAAGAATAAATTTAAAAAGAGGAGGGTGTTTACAGATGACTCCTAAGAGAGGCAACACTGGAGAGGGGCCACAAAACAGCCTAAATCCTTCATTCTCACAACCACTGCTCCAGCAAAGGAACCCTTTTCAGCCCATTCATGCCAAAGGTCTAACCTATATTATTTAAAAAACAAAAAAAATACGCACTAGCCCACTGCATCTCACCTGGACTACTAAGACAGTTCTCTGAACTCAAAAATCTTCTTGTGAACTTCATTAGCCACAGAAGTTATGACTCCTCTACATATCTGATTCTTCCAATAAAAACCACTGCTCCCGGCCACCCAATCCACAACCTCCTTACCTTGCAAGAGGCCAAGTGTACCTACTTAGCAAGCATGCCTGGTTTAACAATAATTTCTTTGGCAAGAAGGAAACAATTTCAACAGGAATTAAAACAAACCTAAGTTTACTTCAAGCTCATTCTGGTAAATCAGACAGTAAATGAATAGATATAAGAGGTGACATTTTATTCTCAGAAGCACAAAGAATACAAACTTCTTTAGTTTGTTCCAAGTAGAAAGTGCAAACTGATCTGACTATAATTTTTATGCTTACTTACAAGATCATCTCTGATATTTATTCATAAAGAAGCTTAACAAGAGTTTGAGTGTATAAGGAAACAAAATTTAGAGGCTGTCTCCAGAAGCAGACGAAGGGAAGAAATCCTGGATTAAATGGAAGTTTTAAAGAACATTCCAAATTCTTTGCTCTTCAAGAAACTTCCTGTAACACTACAAATACTCATTACTTCAATTGCACTTTATGTACACCCCAGGTGACAGATATCTGGTCTCAATTACAGATATTCTCAAATCAGCAAAGCAACATTGTCTGTCAATGCTGAATCTCAATGAATATGAGTTACTCCAGTGGAAACTGAGGCATGGATGAATATGAACCTTAAAAAAAAAAAAAGATACTCTTTCCTTTTGTAAATAAAGTGATAACAATAAGGGGATGGGGCTAGGACTAAGACTCAGTCCTTAGAGTCCTTGCCTAGCATGCATGAGGCCAAAAACTCTCATTTGTGATTTGTGTCCACTGTCCTATTCCAGAGAAAGTTGGGCACAATTACACTTGTATCTAGGTTGGAGGTAGCTTTATTAAATAATCAAAGGAAAAATGCCCAGTAAGTAACAAAAACACTATTATTTATTCAATACTTAAAATACAACAGGCATTAACCTGAGTGTCTTACATATAGCATCAATTCAGTCTTAAAGTACTATTCTGAGGTGAGTATATTATACTCTCCTGACAATGAAACAAAAGCTCAGGAAAAGTGGTGGAGCCAATTTTCAAATCCAAACCTACATGATTTCATCACAAGATGACACCCCTCCCGCCCCCCCAAGCAAAAGACAAATGACTTGTCTTGTGGGAACTGAAGAAGTAGGCTCTCGGGGCTGGGGTTGTGGCTCAGCGGTAGAGCACTCGTCTAGCATGTGCAAGGCCCTGGGTTCAATCCTCAGCACCACATAAAAATAAATAAATTAATATAAAGGCATTGTGTCCAACTACAACTAAAAAAATTTAAAAAAGAAAAAAAAAAGAAAAAAAGTAGTAGTAGTAGTAGTTTTGGGGAAACAGAGGTGTTTTGCTCATTCAACGTATTCACCATAATTTCCCCTTAAGAGCTCTATGAAGCATTCAAAGAATATTTTACCTCTGTATCCTCTGTGGTTCCAGTTCCAGCTGAACTTGTGACAATTCCAAATCGCTCCTTCCTCTTTTTCAGCTTTTCATCATCTTCAGACTGTTCAGGACAAGAAAAATGGTTGAATAAAGCTAGTCTCTATTCACAAAGTAAATAAAAAAGAAATCATAATTTATTGATTATAATATGCAAGCCAAACTTGTACTGAGATAAGGATCACACACAAAACCAGAAAAGACAGATAAGAAAATGAATAAGCTAGTAGTATAGTTTGGAGATGTTGTGAGATGGGTGGGATTTTTCTTTCTTTTTTTTTTTGGCAGAATTAGGGATTGAACCCAGCAGTACTTCATCATTGAGCTACATCCCCAGTCCCTTTTTATTTTCTATTTTGAAGTCAGGGTCTCAATAAGTTGTTAAGGGTGGCCTCGAACTTCTGATCCTCCTGTCACTGTGATCATAGGCTTGTGCCATCACACCTGGCCAAGCCTGACCTTTGAATTATGTTCTGTTTTCCCATCTGGAAATATGATCTTTTCCTCACACATGTACTCCTGCCATGGTATCATTTGGTACATGTGTATGGATCCTCACTGCTATGTGTAGACTTTCAGCCTCCAAAACTGTGAGCTAATTAAGTTATCCAGCCTCCATTTTTTTTTCAGGGCCAAACTTATATTTATTAAGAACAGTAAGCCCTCACTACATTGTCATTGTTGCAGACCACAGAGCACCTTCAGAACTTGATACAAAGAATTCCTGTCCAGGAAGATAGTTACAGAAGAGTTCTCAGTTATTTCTTTATAGCAACAAAAAACGGTAATAGTAGCATATTATACCTAGAATGACTAAAAAACTTATTTTAGGTAGGGCTTCAATACTCTTTAAACTAGAGTAGAGAAACAGCAAGAAATATCCATAAAACAAACTTCTTGCTCAAGAAATTTGGTAGCTCAAATATATGGAAAACTAAGGTTTGATGGAGTAACTCCTGCAGAGAACAGTTTGGTTGAAGGTATCTAAGCTGCCTGTTGAACACACCAACAAGTACCATTTACTTACCAGGGAACAGAAGGGAAAGGGAGCCAGAGTGGTGTTTCTGGAACTTAGAAAGAAAATCAAGTGTTTGAAACACCCAGAAAAGTCACAGAAAGTTCTAAACAGTTTGAAATGATTTCGAGAAAAGGTATCCAAGTGACAGCTGCAGTCATTTAAGAGATATGCTCTAGATATTTTTCAAGCATCAATGACCATTCATGATGCCTGCCTAGTAACTGGGGAGAATATTTCATCTTACTATGAATCAGACCTGGTCACTCCCCCTACTCCACCCGGTGGTACTGGGCTTGAACCCAGGGGTGTCTACCAGTTAGCTACATCTCCATTCCTCAGCTCTTTTTTATTTTTTAAATAGCAAGACAGAGTCTTGCTATTGCCAAGGCTGACCTTGAACTTGCAATTTTCCTGTCATAGCCTCTCAAATTGCTGGGATTACAAGTGTGTGACACTGTGCCCAGCTACTTATAGCTATTTTCAAGACTGAGCTACTGATCTGGGTGCATACATGAGTGGTAAAGCACTTAACTAGCATGCACAAGGTCCTGGGTTCAAGACCCAGCTCCACAAAAAAATAAAAAGAGATAAGAAAAACTGACCTACTGTTTACTTCCAACATTATTCAATATAACAGTCCTGGATATATTCAAATAAGGACCTAAACATTACT